TTCCAGAAGAAGGTGAGCGCAGCGCGGCGCGGGCGGGCGCGGGCCCGGCCCTGCCCTCAGCCTCCTTCTCCTTCCAGATCGGGGCCTACGACCAGCAAATATGGGAGAAGTCCATCGAGCAGACCGAGATGAAGGTACCGCTGGCGGCCGGGCGCTGCGGCCCGGGCCCGGCTCCCCTCGCCGCTAACAGGCCTTTGTTTCCGGCTCCGTAGGGCCTCAAAAACAAGCCGAAGAGGAAGGGTCACATCCAGCCCGACCTGATCGACGTGGATTTGATCCGAGGTGAGCGGCCCATGAGTGTCCTGGTGTCCCGGCGCAGCCGTCGCTGCCTCGCTGGGGAGAGGGGCCTGTGCTCTGGAAGGGGTTTTGCCTTCAAGCGGCCCCGAGTGGTTCAGCTCCCAGGCCGAGCAGGGTGGAAGGCCCCGGGGGGGATGCCTGTGCTGGCTTCAGTGCACGAGGAGCACGGAAATCCTGAGAGCAGGTGCAGGAGGAGTTTTGGGGTGGTTCAGCAACAGCAGTGGTGAGAACAGGCAGGGGAATAAAAGGCAGGATGTGCCTGTTGGAGCTGTGTGGGTTGGAGACGTGCCTGTGGTTGAGCTGCTGTGACCTGTCTGGACTGTGGTGTCCTGGAAGGGTTTGGTCCTGGCCAAGGAGGAAGTCATAAGTAAGGAAATCCTTCTAATTCACAATTAATGATTTGATGGTTTTTCCTTTAATTCCAAGGCTCTACGTTTGCCAAAGCCAAGCCCGAAATCCCCTGGACATCACTAACTCGGAAGGGAATTGTGAGAGTTGTGTTTTTTCCATTGTTCAGCCAGTGGTGGATCCAGGTCACTTCCCAGAGGATTTTTATGTGGCTCCTGGTGCTCTACGTTATGCAAGGTGAGGGGTGGCAGTGATCAGTGCCACAGCCCCTCTTCAAAGAGGAATTGGACATGGTTTTGCAGTCCATGCTCTAAAGCAGAAGTATCCTGAGACCTGCTTAGCGTGGGTTTCAAGATGTGTGGCACTAGGATGTGCAGAAATCATGAAACAGAATAAAAATGAATAGTCAAAGCAGACAAACTGGGCCACGCTCTTAATGTTTGCATTTTTTATATGGAGGTTTTTTTTTTTCCTTTTCAGTTGTAGCTGTGGTGCTGTATTTCCTGGTGCCTGTGGTGAACCCCAGCGAGGTGCTGGGCCCCCTGTGCCTGATGCTGCTGATGGGCACCGTGCACTGCCAGATCGTGTCCACCCAGGCCCCCCGGCCCGCGGGCAACGGGCTGGGCCGGCGCAGGAGGTGAGGGGGCAGCAGGGCCTGGGCTGGGCTGGGCTGGGGAGGGGGGCTCATGGGGAAATGGGTTGGCTCCTATTTTGGTGTAAATGTGTAACCGTAAACGTGAAAACGAGAATTTTCTGCTTTCTTTGTGATCTTACAACCAAGACAAACGCTGCGGATTGACCAGGCTGTGATGGGGCTGGTTCTGTTGGCATCTCTTTCTGATGTAGCTTTTAAGGACAGTTTCTTTCCGTGGCTGGAGGAGGGCATGCAGTGCAGAACAAGGCATGCAGTGCAGAACAGCTCCTCAGGGCTGCACAGGTCTGGTGTCCTGCTGCAGTCACAGCTGCAGGGAGCTGCTGGTGTGCACTGAGAGCAAGGAAATGGTGGCAGAGATGACTGAGTGGAGTCGTTGCTGGGCATTTATGCATGTGGGAGATGGCCCATCTAGCAGATATTTAGCTGTTGGGTGTCTGACTAGGGTCAAACACTGATGCAATATATTAGAGCACAGGATGATGGATGTGGGTAGTTTTGCCTCCATTAGATTTTTAGGACAAAGATTAGACCAGATTTTATGTGTTGCATCCTTTGCCAGTGATATGCTGGTGCCCTGTGGGTATGTGCATAACTTCTATTGATCTAAACAACATCTATTTTATTTGGAAATAAACATTCTGTCTGCATGACTTAAGAAAAACAGCATCTAGAAACTGCTCAAAACTGATTCAGATCTTTTAAAGAAGACCTAAAAGTAGCCTGCTATACAAATTTAACTATTTTTTAAAAAATCAGGAAGCTACGCAAATCTGTGGGTGTTGATGGGAGCAGTTGGTCTTCTCCTGACAAAACCAGCCAAGAGGAGCAGTCTGAACCCGCATCCATCCTGAACACCGTGTTCAGCGCGCTGTTCCGGAGGAGGTAGGTGATCCTGGTGGTGCCTGGCGCTGTGCAGGGACCCTGGGGAAGGGGCACAGTGTGTTTGAGCTGTCACTGGCCTCCCAGTCACCTTCTCCTGAGATGAAGGCAGGATTGGTGCTGCTGGAGGCTGATTCCTCAGGAATGCTGGTGTGTCCTTGTTAGGAGCTTGTACAGTGTCTCATGGTGCAGCTAAACCTGAGCCTCAGATGAGTGGCAGGAAGAGGTGGAGCTTATTTTTATTAATCAGATAAGTGATTCTTGAATGTCTGTGCTGAAGTGATGTTACTGTTTTACCTGATTTCCAGAAGCAATTGTGCCTTTTAGTTTAAGTTGTCTAGGTAGTCATCCTACTTTTTACCACTGCACTTTTTCTAAAAGTAACTAGAGGAAAAGGAGGTTGGGTTGTTTGGGATAAGATTTTGTTGTCCTCTGCAGTTTTCTCAGGTGAGTTTCTTGATGATTTTTCAACTGAGAGGTCCTTTGTCTTGATGAGGAATTCTTGTCTTCTGAGCTACTCTTTTTTCTTTCTAATTTATTTTTCAAAATAATAATAAGATTTCCTTCTTGGTTTAGAAGTTTTAAAATACTATTAAGAGTTACAAAAGAACTGTCCAGTGAGAGACAGGCAGGGGTAAATCTCTCAGGCAGGATCTGGACACAAAGAGCCTGTCAGCAGAAGGCAATTACGTGTTCCCTAACAATGCTGTTTGATGTTGTACCTCTGTGGCAGGTGAAAGAGGCCATGATGTTTTCCTCAGAGTTTTTCTCTGACATAAAAGCATTTAATTGTATTTTCTCTCACAGAGTTAGAAGAGTGAAGTTGGTGGCTGAGAAAGGGACTGAGACAGAGGCTGGTGTGAGTGCTGTGGGTGCTGCCTTTGCACACAGACACACCAGATCTGAACACAGGCTGTTGCACTTCAAAGAGAAAAGTAAACTTTCCGATGGGGAAAAGAGCCATCAGGTACTGGCAGGGAAGATACACTTAAAGTCACCAATTTCAGTGTATTCTGTATGTGCCCAAAAGTTTGTTGATTCTTAACTGTGTGGTTTGATCCAATAGAAGACACTCCCTGCTTCCACTAGTCCTTGCTTGCATGTAGAGCACCTAACCCCCTTCCTGCTTCTTGGCTGAACAACTGGCAGGGAAGTGTCAGCACTTTCCATCTGTTACAGCAGCCAAGTGTTGTTCAGGCTGGTCCTTTGCTGTGCCTGAGCCTCACGCGGGGTGTTGTGTGGCTAGGGGGGCTGCTCCACCAGGGGGGCTGTTTCTGAGGAGCTCTCCAGTGAGGAGGACACTGAAGCGATGGCCCAACGGGTCTTGTTGCGCCAGAACGTTGAAGGGGCTTCCAGTGACAACAGCTATGAGGAGAAGAGGAGGAGGCCTCTTGTTTCTCTGAACCAGGCTGTCTCACAGGTACTTGTGTGGAATTTATGCCATTTTCCACACTGTTTTTTGCTATGGATAGTAAGCTGGTTTTCCTCTGGTTTTGGCAGGTCAAGCAAACCCTGAAAGGCGCCAGAGACTCTGACAGTGTTGTGGAATCTGAGCTGGAATCCACACTGTATAGTCAGGTATGGTAACAAACCCAAGTGACAGGGCTTTATTGGGCCTGCCCGTGCTGGGGCCATGGTTGGATGATGGTGCCTCAGTGTCCCAGGGACAAGGTGTGGCCTCCCTCCTGCTTGTTAGCAGCTTTGCAAACTCTGTTCGCAATTAGGAGTATATTACTTTGTTTAACAAAAACAGAACAAACAACAAACAATCACTCCCCCGGCAGCCACTCTACTGGTCTGGGTTGCTTCCAATTCCTGGTGTTGAATTGCTACAGTTGCTCCTGTGACTCGGGAGGCAGCACAGTGTTGTAGCTTTTATGCTACTTAGTTTTGAGTTTAAAATGAATAAATAAATCTATTCTGTGATACTCATTCACTTCATTACTTTGTTTATCTTGTCCTCTGCCACCCCCCTACCTGAAAATAAAATAGAAATAAAATATCTGAATATCAAATTATAAAATTATAGAAATAAATACAAAATATAAATGAAATCTTACAATAGCTTATGCAGAAGCCAGAAAACTTTAGCATTAGAATGATCAAGTCGATTCTTACTGTGAAGCTGGGAACAGAGGTGGGGCAGTCGTGCTGTGTGAGTGCCCTCTGCAGCTCTGGTTGCACAAACTCTCCCTGAGGGGTCTTGTCTTTCCCAGTGGCCTCACGGGGGGTGGGACCGGGTGCTCCCACCTGCTGGGGAGGGAGGGGGGTCTGCAAACCAGGTGTGCGGCTGTGCTGTCAACACTCTGCTCTTCTGCCAAGGACTCGAGGTCCTGCATCAGCGGGGGATCCCGGAGCTGCAGCGTGACCCGGAGGGACTCGGAGAGCACCCGGCAGGACTCGGAGACCGAGGACATGCTGTGGGATGACCTGCTGCACGGCCCCGAGTGCCGCTCCTCGGGCACCAGCGACAGCGAGGAGATGAGCGCCAGGGCCGCCCGGCGCGACCCCAGCGAGGACGTGTTCCAGCAGGTCTGTCCTGTGCGCCTGGGAGCTGAGAGGGCTCTGAACGAACAGGCACAGAGACCCCTCCCTTCTCTCTCCCCCCTGCTTTCCCAAGGATTTGATCACCACCTCCCAGTGCTGTTGGTACTGTGTAACCACAGCTGACCACACCAAGTGAGCTAAATGGCATCAATGATCAGCTCCCTCCCCCCTGCTGGCATTACCCGGACCAGTGCTAATCCCAAAACAGTGTTTCACCCAAAGACAAATTTGGAATCCTCCTCTCAATCTAAATACTTGAATTATTTAATAGTAGGACAGAAATCGATGATGTGCCTTTTGCATTCTTTTGTTTTATAGAACCATTTGTTTTGGCTGCAGAACACAAGTCCAGCATCTGCAAAAGTGAGTGCACTGATCTGGGAAGGGAATGACTGTAAGAAGGTGGACATGTCTGTGCTGGAGATCAGTGGGATTATCATGAGCAGGGTAAGAGGGCTGTAAGGCAGTGCAGCCTCCCTCCCTCCTGCTTTAAAAAACAACCACCAGAAAACCTGAAAATAGTTCTACATGCAAATATGAAGTGCAGTGTAAAACTGGTCCTTCCTCAACTGCAAATACAGCTGTCCCAAATGTTCTTACTTAAAATCACATAAACCAAAATGTAGAAGGTCCTGTTGAAGACTAATGAGTGCTGATGCTTGTTGGCTGCCTCTGCAGTGTGTTGAAGGTGGGGGATTATTTCTTGACTGAGTGTTGTTGGTTCTGGATGGAGATGGGCGGGATTATTTTAGGCTATGTCCTTTGAAGAGCAGGGAACTGAATGCCTGACTGAATTAATACTGCCAGAACAGCATGCCTGCTCCTTGATGCAAAAAAACCCCCAGGAGATTGTCCTGTGTTTGTTCCTGCTTGCCAGGTTAATGCCCACCAGCAAGGAGTGGGGTACCAGATGCTGGGGAACCTCCTCACCATCGGGCTGGCGTTCCTGCCGTTCCTCTACAGACTCGTCCGCACGGATCACCCGGAGCAGCTGTGCTCCATTTCCCTGAAGGAGCTTTTGCACATCTTCTGTGGGGCACCTGCCAGCACCCCTGTTGTTGTTCTCTCTGCCATCAACTTCCTTGAAAGACTTTGCTTAACCTGGATGTTTTTCTTCATGATGTGTGTTGCTGAGAAAACCTACAAGCAGGTAGGGGGAATCTTCTGTTGTCTTCCCTGGGCCTTGTGCTTGACCACAGCCAGGCTGCCTGTGGTGGGAAACACTGGCAAGGCAAGCATGGTTCAGCCAGCGGATGTGTCAAAGCTGGAGAGATGTCCAAGAACTTTAGGTTGGAGAGTCTGGCAAGACTCCTGTTCATCTGTCATAAACTTAGGCCTGTCAGTCCCCTCCTGACCCGTTTTCCCCCTCTTACCCTGCCCCCAAGGGACAAATAATAATAAGGGTTATTTTGGGTGCATCACACTCAGCTCCCTCAGGCCTGTAAGCAGCAGCTCTGTCGAAGTGGCTGTGGTGTTGCATGGTAGGCAGCTGGGATTGCTGCTCTAACCTCCCACTGCCCCACACACGCGTGGCCACTGCCCAGACCCTTTGGCCTGCCCCATATGCCACAGGGTTGACCTTCTCTGCCAGTTAACACTAAGCCATCCCAAGCAGTCTTTTTTTTTTTTAAGACTAATTTATGTTTGTGTGTGCACTTTTTGTTTTTAATTTGCAGAGGTTTTTGTTTGCCAAGCTTTTTAGTCACATCACATCAGCTCGGAAAGCCAGGAAATACGAAATTCCTCACTTCAGACTCAAGAAGGTAGAAAATATTAAGATCTGGTTATCCCTGCGTTCATACCTAAAGGTGAGTTATCATCCAGGATCTGATTATTTCAGAGGGTGTAACCAACTCTGCAGGTACAGGAGCTGCCCCCCAGTGCTGTCTGCCCCCCTGGACATCCCTGCTCTTCCCCTCACAAGTCCCAGCCCCATATCCCAGCTCTGCCTCAGCCCTCACTCCCTCTTTGTTTCCGCAGCGACGAGGCCCCCAGCGATCCGTGGACGTGGTCGTGTCCTCCATCTTCCTACTGGCTCTTTCAATTGCTTTTATATGCTGTGCCCAGGTGAGACTGTAAGATTTTTAAAAATAAATTAAAAGAAAAAAGAAGTAGAGGGAACCCCCAAGCACACACAACAGGCATTTTATTGCCCACTAACTGGAAAGAGGGAGGAAAGAGAAAGAACAAGCATCCTTTTCTCAGCAGAAAGAAAAAAACACAACCAAATTCCAAGCTAAAGTCAGATTAGAAACAAGACCTTTTACTTCAACCTTTTAACACAAAGGAGTTACACTTCAAGGGAAAAATTGTCAGTAGTTCTAGAGCACGGGTGTCATCAGAGGAGTAAGGGCAATTTCTCCTGAGAACAGGCATGTTCCTTGTTATTGATATGGGTGCTTTTTTCCCCAATACAGGTTCTTAAGGGTCACAAAACATTTCTGAATGCAGCCTACAACTGGGAGTTCCTCATCTGGGAGGCAGCACTTCTTCTCTTCTTACTACGTCTGGCATCTTTGGGCTCTGAAACCAACAAGAAATACAGTAATATTTCAGTCTTGCTCACTGAGCAGGTATCGCCATTTGGGTTATTCTCTCTCTGGCTTTGTAGCTTGTTTGGATATGCTTGTTGCCTTTGAAACTAGTTGAAAAAATACTGGAACCCAATTTTAAAATTTAGAAACTAATACTTGTGCTGCACACAAGGAAATAAAACACTGCAGCTGGGGAGAGACAAGCTGTTGAACACTGGAACAGACTCAAATTCTAAAATTCTTCATAATTTTTATGTCTGGATCAACATATTAGCTATGTCAATTGGAAAAGAAGAATCATTGCTAAATTCCTGTCTGTGGGTGCATTGCTTCTTCAGGGGTGACAGCAGACTGCAAAAAATGGCTCTAATTTCCTTCAGTTAGAAATCAGTTGGGAGTTAGTGCTGGAATATTAACATCTGGTGTGTAATGTCTCTGTCACAGATCAACTTATACCTCAAGATGGAGAAGAAGCCAAACAAGAAGGAGCAGCTGTCTCTAGTGAACAATGTTCTGAAGTTATCTACAAAGCTGCTGAAGGTGAGTGCCCCTGAGCACAGAGCTGTGCCATTTTCTGGAAGCAGTGGCTCATGACAGGAGTGTGGGGCTGTGCTTTTCACTTTTCTCTTGTCTCTTGAGCAGTTAGTTCTCAAAAAAAGGGAGTTTTTCTGTGCTTCCATAGTCATGGCATAAGATCAAGCAATACAAGACTGGTGTGATTAATTAGTGCTGCAAACATTTGATTAGTAACAGTTTACTGCAATTTAGGGAGGCGAGAGGAGAGGCCAGTCTGAGCTGTGTCTCTCTCTGCTGCTTGAATTGCATTTCCTCTCAGCAGCTTCACTGCTGAAGGTTGTTGACAGCAGCAGAGTAGATATTTGGGAAAGACAAAGCATAGTCTAAAAGTAATATAAATTAGTTTGGACAAATCCAACAGCCTGTTGTCCCAAGCACCTGTTATGGAGCCAGTGTGGCCACAAAGGAGACTTTTCAGATTGAATATGGCTGACAGAAAACATCTTTGAGCTGGGAGGACCATAAGAGAGTGGGAATTTCTGTATCTACATTTAAGGAAGGATACAGAGGCAAAGTCTGCCAGAGAGCCAGGATTAAGCTAAACATCAAAGGATCGATTGCTTCTGGTATGGACAAATGCTAATGGACTTTTTTTTCCTTTCACTGCAGGAATTAGATACTCCATTTAGGCTGTATGGGCTGACCATGAATCCATTAATCTACAATATAACACGTGTTGTGATACTCTCTGCTGTCTCAGGTGTTATCAGTGATCTTCTAGGCTTCAATATCAGAGTAAGTACAACGGGAAACAGCTGGTTGGGGGTCTCTCTGGCATCACTGCCAAACTCCTCCCACCACACAGCAAGGTCCTGGGTTTAAGTCAGGCTCCCTCAGCCCAGTAGTTCAGAGAAGAGACCGTGCTGGATGAATCACCATTTCCCTGAGCCAGTGCTAGGGAGAAGGACAAGCCTGACTTGAATTCCTATTCAGGTCTGCATGCAAAGTTAAAGCTGTTAGTCAGAATCTTGGGTTCTTTCCCTGCCTCCTGTGGCTCACACTGAAACTGCAGCTCGCTGAGCTCAGCATTCACAGGATGGTTGAAGGTGACAGTCCTTCCTATAGATGAAAAGCAATCAGACCCACACTATCTCTTTGCAGTTATGGAAAATTAAACCATGACCTGACCAAACACCTGACCCTGCCACGACAGACCAGAGAAAGCCAAGAGCTTGGACAAAAAGCAGAGGTGCTCTCCAGGTATGGAAATCTGTCATTACCATTTTGGAAACAGATGCTCGGTGTGTGCATCAAAAGTTCTCCCTCTGCTTTACTGTTCTACAACATCCAGCATAAAGTGGTTTGATCAGTGAAGTCACCCATGACAGCTCATGGGGACAAACTCCACCAGCTGGCACCGAGCACTGAGAGCTGCAGGTGGACACCAGGAGCCCTGAGAGCTGTGACTGGAGGGACACCCACGATTGTACAGGTGCCTCTTGGCTGTAGCACCTGAGCCCTGTACAGGTGACAAATTTCAGTTAGCAGCATCCTCTGCAGAGAGCTCTGGATGTCCTGGAGTGTTTCTTTCCTTAAAACCTTGGTGTGTTTGAGGTGCTGCCTCTTCATCCCCACCTGCTGCAGGTCCAGTGGAACCTGGTCTGCACAAGAGGAATTCTGCCTCTGTGTTGGCAGTGAAGCAATAACAGAGCCATGCTGATTGGCTTGTGTTGGGTCTTCTGCAAATAAATGATGATCATTCTGTGAAAAGATTAGTGAGAGGAGAACAACCTTGCACCACCAACTCCAAGTGAAGCACTGATCAACTATAGGACATGTTGCTGTTTGTTCCCTGGGACACCTGATCTATCTGGGACCTCCTGGTGTCTCTGATGAGCTTTGCTCCCAGCTCTGGGAGCTGCTGCAGTTGTGCTCACAGGGGCTGCTGAGGGAGAGAGGGGGCAAAGGCCTCCTCACCTGAGAGAGAGGAGTGTTTAGAAAGGGCACGGGAAAGAAACAAGATGTTTTAGACACTTGTAAAACTTATACTTCCCTTAACTGACTACTATTGCCTGTTTATTAACTAATGAAAAAAGTAACATGAGGAACTTCCCATAGCTTCCTGCTGTCACATACAGGGTAAGGTGGAGTAAGAATTGTTGGTAGTAAATTGTTTACAGGTATTTTCTGTATGAGGAAAAGTTGTAAGATGTACAAGGAGATGACAATTTTATATATCAAAATGTACAAATAAACCTACAATACAAGGATTTCAACATTAGAACTGATTCTACATTACTTGATTTTTTCTGGGGAGTCAAGGGAACTTCCAATAAAATTGCATGTGTTGTTTTCCAGAAGAGTATTATGTCTATGAGTAAAACCTGGGCCATGTATTTAAAGTAAAGTATCACACCACTTAAAGTCAACAAAGAATCTATTTTACATAGTGCAGAACCAACAGATCATGATCTGGAGTTTCTTTTTAATATCTATATAAAAAATAATGAGCGATTTACAGTCTCTCTCTAGTCAGAACCTCAGAAGTATGTATAAAGGTGCTGTACAATATATAAACATTTACACCCAGTACATCCATACATTGCTTAGCATTCCAAGGCCACATTGCTAAGTCATCTGATACAGCAAGTACAGATACAAGTCCTATGGAAGGAGAAATCACACACAGGTAAGACACTAAATCAGGTCACATTAACATATAGAAAAAATAGAGGGGTAGTTGATGACAGGGAAATATCAGTGGTGCTAATTCATCTTTGTATTTAATGTCTGAATTGGTTACTGTAGGCAGTGGATAGGGCAAGTGCATACAACTCAACATAAAACAGCATCTTCTTAAGAATACATGGGTAATATCTACATTGGCTACTTCAAAGTATTAAACATCTTCACAGTCCTGCTCCACACAGGGAGCATCTGGACATAATATGCTACACAGCAAATCTCAATGAATCATCCAATGTCAAGCAGCAGAGCACAGTTTGAATCTGCTTTAAAGCCTATTTAATTTTCAAAGTCTTTGTTTAAAAAGCTCTTTGAGTAGTCATCTGTACTGCTAAAGAATTCAGCTCAGGACTGATTCACTGTCCTTCGTTAAGCTTTAAACACATTACATGTTTCAAAGCCGAAATGAGATATTCAGTCATTCACTTTCAAACAGCAAAGTATTAGTTTGAATTTTATCATGATTAAAAGTAAAGCTTGATCTTTTACACTTCCTTCCCCTGCAAACTGGACCAATGGGATCATTTTACCATGTTTCTGCCATCTTTAAAAACCTGACAGGGCAGGAAATCATCACTAGAATAAAATAAAAGCCCTCAATTTATGCAGTCTGTTGTTCTTCCAGCTGTAGGACTGATGTGGGAACAGATTCTGGTCATAACATCCCTCTTGTTAAAATACATATTCTAGACTAAACTCATGTACCCTGTACAATATCCTCCTTAGAACTCTGAGATCACACATTCCAAGTAACACGTGGGAGATTCAATACACACAGGCACGGACTTTCTTGCAGAAGCTGCAGTAGCAACTGGTTCAGTCCTAAAGGTCCAGTTATTTCCTCCACAGAGGAGAAAAACCTGATTCCCAACTAGCATTAAATAACTGAAGATGGGATTTCAGCATACAGCACCACAATGAGCCTGAAAATAAACATGCTCTCATTGCTGTTGTGTACGGAGAACCACTAAGGGTGAGGCAGCGACCAGGGAAATTGCCTCATTTAACAGAGCCCAGAATTTTCTCTTTTCAGATGGATGTTGCCAACAGCTGTTACAAGCATCCTTATGAATTTATAAAGGAATTTTGCTGTGTTCTTATGAAGCAAAATTACAAAATATTATGTCAAACGTATTTTTTATCTACATGATTTTGCATTAGGTATAAACATTTAAGGAAAACCATCAATTGAACAGCATCAATGGCTCATTTGCTGCCCTAGAACTGATGGAACCAACTCACCCATTTTCTTACTGCACCAGTGAGAAGGTGCTTTTCCTTTTGCAAACACACACCACACTCCTGAGAAAACACTCTTTTCAAACTAAACCTTGTCTTTTCTGTGACTGGAATACATATGAGGAGGGCTAGATTGACTGGATACAGTAGATGACTTGGCACAAGAACAGGAGGTGAGTCATGATCACATTGGCAACAGAGGCATTAAATAATTTGTTCAGAAACTCACAACACTGTCTGAGAAGCCGCAGCAGCACAACATTGAGCAGCAGAACCACCTGCCCAGGGACGAGGGGACAGCAGCTCATGGCAGAGTCTCACTAAGCAAAATCCAAAAGGTCCTTCATGCAGCTTAGATAATTTAAGAATGAATCAAGTACTTTCCACCCTCTTAACTGGTTTCTGGAAAAAAAATGACAACTTCCCGAAAAGAAACAATGCTTTTAAATGACCATTATTAGAAACTTGATTAAAACATGTTCTAAAAAAAAGTGTCAGTCAAACCCGTTTTTCAGCCACTCCTGCTGTTTGGGTGACTTTACACGTGCTTGGAACCCTCCACGGTCCAGGAGTTATTGGTGTTTTCTTGACTGGAGAACTACTCTGGGATCTGGGAATTCTGTCATCTTTGGTTTCATCAGGCAACTCCATGTGTCTCTCTCTGTGTTGTCTGTTCAGCGTAGCAGGGTCTTGTGTCTCGAGCCTCCTTTGTTTCTCCATGGAAAGCAGTGGAATATTTGAAAGACTGGAAGCTTTGAATCTGCTGTAACTTGGCTCTCCAGAGTCTGATTTCTTTGTTTTTTTGTCCTCACATGTGTTTCTCCTAGAGTCACTGAATGAAAGATTATTCTCATCAAATGCTGCAGATTGTTGCTCTGGAGACCACACTTCCATCTTTTCAGATGTTTTCTGCTTTGTGTCTTTCCTGGTGACTCCTGTTTTACCATTTCCACCTCTCAATCTCTCAGCAGTCATTTTATCACCACCAGTTGTTCCATCTTTATATTCCTGTAACCTGCCTACCATTTCAGCAGTTCCTTGCTTGCTGAGTTGCTGCTGGGGACTGGCAGACCTTCCTTGATTTCCACTAGAATACTCTTTTTTGTTATTATTGTTCATTCCTGTTTCTGTGGTTTTACTCTCACTCTTTCTTGAACTCTCAGATTTATGTGAGAGATTGCTGTACGTTTTCTCAGGATCTCCTTTTCTGGGGCTGTGGAATCCTGTGGGAGTGGGTCCCTCAGCAACCCCTAAATTTTCTGGACTTGCAGATCTGTCTCCTCTGGTCCCTACTTCCCAACTACCTTTTGTGATTTCAAACCCAGGACTGGAGGGACATTCCCATCTGTTCTTTGTTCTCTGGGGAGAGGAGTGAGGCTTCATCTCCAACTGGTGTTCAGGTAAAGTGCTTATCTGTTCAGGCACAGTGTTCTTTGCTTGTTCCAGTTTCTCAGGCAGCTGAACTCTCATTAAAGCTTCTCCTGGTAGATGACACACCTCAGATGGGGAAGCAGAATGTGAAGATGAAGATAATGGTGACTGTTCTTCATATATTACATTTGATGAAGACGGATTGTAACTCTCCCAATCACCTGGAAGTGAACAGTAAGATACTTCACTAAATTACTATAATATAAATCAATCAGTATTTTAGAAACATGCATACTACTGAGGTTCCAGGATGTTATATGAAATCTCCAATTTAAAGAAGATGATGGAGTGGCATACTCTCCAAGTCTTACTTAGTCAGTTTTCTCCATTGCATCATTCTACAGCCTAAAACAACCATGAGGATTTGATTTAGGAAAATAACTGAGAATGCTGGCATAGTCACTGTGGGACTGACACCTTTTTGTACCAGCACAACTTCAGAGCCTACACAGCAAAACTGCAAAATAGAAAGTCCCTGATTTACATTGCTTGATATAAGAACACAATATGAATGGAAACTGCTACACTACAAGAAAACTGAAAACAGTGAGAAGTTGGGGTTATTTGTAGCTTTGCACTTTAATAACAGGAAGAGATGAAACACAAGACATGCAGATTTACCAAGTCTTTAAGGAAAAACCAAGAAAAGCACTGAAAGCCCTTAATGTTGCTCAGGTTTCACGTAGGGACACAGACTGGAAGGAGCCAAACCTGAGGGAGGAAGAGAGAAAGCCCGGAACTACATACCAAAATCACAGGGTACAGCAAGCAAG